GTATTGCGAATTTTCTCTCTTTTGTTTATAGTGACAAGTTCGGTCATGTTGATGTTTTAGTTAATTTTTGGCAGCTGCTTTGCTTGCACGTGTTTTGACTCGTCTTAGATCTTTACCTATTCCAAAAAGTGGATCAAATAATCTGTATCGAACTTTGTGTGAAAAACAATTTTTGAAATGCCAATATTATGGAAGCGAAAAAAAGTAGCCAATCTATTTTACAAAATAAATATTAAATTTTTTGAATTGTTAAAATGATTGAAAAATAATTGAAATTTAAATCTAAAATTGAAAAAAAAAAATCATTCAATATTCCTCATATTTGCAATAATCTTCAATATTATCTACAAATTCAATAATTTCCGACAATCTGAGAGCAAGAATTTTTAAATTTTATTAAAATTAAGTAAGTAAGTTGATATATATTAAAGTGGTCGATTTCTGATATATTTAAAAATTATATTTCAATAAAATAAAAAGATTTTAAATTAAAATTTTGAATGAAAATTAATGAAATTCATTACATCAGAAACGGAGTAAAGAAGTCACTTCTATGCTCGCGAACGGTTAAATTATAAATTCCAAAAAGGTTGCTTGGAACCGGCGCTGTACGGGTGTGAATCATTGACAGGGTTCGAAACGTGGTGTTACAGGCGAATAATGAGGTAGAGGATACCGTGGATAGAGAAGGTTAGAAATGAAGAGGTATTAGAAAGAGTAAGGGAACAGAGGACTCTATGGAAGTCAATAAAAAATAGACGAGATAGGTTAGTACGACATCTCCTCAGGCATGAAGGGCTAGTCAGAGACATATTAGAGGCAGAAACGGATGTTAGGAGGGTAGAGGTAGACCTAGATCAGATTAGTTTTCGCAAATAGTTAAGGAAATGGGTTACTCTAGCTTTAGGGAAATACGAAGATTATCGCAGGATAGGAAATAGTGTAGGTGCGTATCCAACCAGTCTTAGGACTGACGACCTTATGATGATGATGATACTCTCTTTGACTGTTTTAACAAAATAGTACTCTGTCAAAGTCGTGGGGACCCCGTTATCCTTATGTGTCTCGAGCGTCTTATAGGTTAAAAACGGCCCTGGTACCCTGTACTTACGATATGTTTACTTATTGTCTAACAAAACAGTGCCGTTGGAAATGAGTGTCATATTCTAATAAATTTACGAGCGGTATTTCATACAATGCACTTGAGTACATGCTACACTTATTGTAGATACGTAGTACGGCTGCTGTGTTCGTACAGGTAGATTTGAACAACGAATTTGCGTCATATCGAAGGCGGTAGATATTAGAGTAGAAGTAATAGGTACCATAGCCGTTAGTTTTTATTGTATTGATGTTTTGTACAACTTCTCAGCGTCCATCGAATACCAATATTAGGTGCGATCTTTAATAAAGCAGAGGTACAAGTAGACAAGTAAAATAGTCTCAATCATTTTATGATTGACACGCTTGAGGTCAGCAATCCTTGAAGTGACTTTGTTTTTAAATTTTTGTTTCGCTTACAATAAATTTTTAGTGACAGGTAAGTGTACTCGAGATTAAAAGGAGATAATATAAAAAAATAGCATTAACTTTACCATCATAATTATATGTACTTACTAACAAGTTAAAAATATGAAGCTTCTTTTAACTTTAACATTACTTACCGATCTTAAAATTGAAATTGCGTTAATAAAGATAATTAAAAGTGGTCGAAACACGTATTGCAGTAACTAGGGTGAGTTTCTTTTTGGATTATTTGTTTAAAATTGAATGGTACTAACGAATACTGTTAGAGTATTTGATATAAGTATAAAAACCAAGCGTTGTTCGAGCAGTCGAATTATTTGACGGTTATAATTGTCTCTTTGCACGCGCTCCTATCATGGAGAAAAATTCCATGTTTGAGTCACACAGTGCACACATCCTTAAAGCTTCTACTTGATTACTTATTAATAAAGTTTGTGCTTAACAATCCATAACTATTATTCAATAAATACAATTTTAATTACTAATTTTTTGATTGCTGCCAATGTGATGTATGAAAGTTTTCAACTTACACAGTCCATTAAAAATATTGATATAAGGGCAGATAAGGGCCAAATCTAAGAAATAATTTTTAGCTTGGTTTTGTGATTTTTTTTCACTTATGATTTTGAAAGTGTATGATCTTTATGATAAATTAAACTTTTTTGGAATTGGCATAACAATTAAAGGCATCTTAGTTGAAGGTATATGTAGTTCTAAAAAAAACATGGAAATGCTATCGATTTTTTCACTTACGCTCTTTTGCATATACGTAGAAGACGTTATCACAAGTTCTTATAAAAACAATGGGCTTCAACATTTAAAATCATTTATCAAATTTCATCAAAGTTACCAGCGGATTTTGGGAAATTTATGACTAATTTGACCATTCCATTCATTTTGTCTGTTAGTAGAACTGCTCGATTTTATGCTTGTTTTACTTGTCTCTGATGTAACATATGTAACATTCAATTCAGTAGTCTGAGAGGTAGAACTAAGATAATCATAAAGGCTTTCGCAACCAGTAGGTAAACTGATGCTGTCCTGATTCACCGAGCGGCATGGTCTAGAGGTTTAGACCATCGTTTAGCATTCGGGAAGATGCCGGTTCGATTCCGGGTCGGTCTGTCTTGGTCCAAGTTTTTCTATGGTTTCCTTGGATCACTTAATCAAATGCTGGGGCAGTAATATTCCACAGATAATCTTTCATTATCTTCGGTCTTCATTTCGTCTGTTTCATCTTTCTCGGCGTAGTCCGGAAGGACTGCCCGCCCACCAGCATTAGTGGCTGGTGGGAATGAAACACCCAAAAGTTTAGTTTTTGTCCTGATTCTAGCCTAAAAGCCTTTTCACACTAGCGGCTAGTGGCGCCACTGCAGCGCAACCAATCGCGATAATGTATTTTTCGGGCGGCCGTTTTAAGGAACACTGATGGCTGCTACTACGTTAGGATAATAATTCACATAGTATAGTAGTATTCAGTTAAGAAGTGCAGACAGTACCCGAAAAGTGAATATAAACTCACCACTTTGCTTATTGTAAATTGTATAATGAAACAATAATCATAATAAATCATAATCCTCATCAGTCGTTTGTTTTTCTCTTCAAAGTCCGGAACATATACTTCATTTACTTTCTCTAGCAATGTGCCCCTTCCAATGTCTTGGATGCGCGCTGGCAAAATCGTAGATAGGGAGAAAAAAGCCCATTATACTCTCGACTCTTGTTCATTAAACATACTTTTTCATACAATACCTGTTAAAAGTTTTGTTCAATCATGAATAGTAGTGAGAGTCGAAAACAAGCGTTAAGGCCTTTAATATGTCTTCAAATATAAATAAATATCTCTTTGATATTTTCGGTAGTAAATAATAACAGCACATTTGAGCAAAGTAAGTGTAGTGGATAAAATGGTCAATTTTTTCGTGCTCTACTGTACCGAGTTTGGCCGATAGTTGCCTCCTTCCTTTTCTGGCGTAGTGCTGTTCTTTTCTATTTTACGCCGGTCAAACTGAAGGTCACATCGCTACAAAAAGCAAACGAAGTATACTTTTAATTTTTTTAATTTAATTATTGTATTTCCGTATTCGTCGCTAGTGTAATCCTAGATTGCTGGATAATTTTGCTATGAAATCTTCTGTATTTATGATATAAATTTTGTCATGTTGACCAACTTGCTGCTACTACTTGACCGAGCGACATGGGCTACAGGTTTAGTCCACTGCTTAACATTCAGGAGGTCGCCGGTTCGATTTCGGGTCCGTTTGCCTTGGACCAAATTTTTCTGTGGTTTCTTTGAATCACTTAGGCAAATGCTGGAGATGTAATATTCCATCATCATCATCATAAGGTCATCAGTCCTAAGACTGGTTGGACACGTACCTCCACTCTTTCCTATCCTGAGCTAAACTTCGCATTTCCCTAAAACTAGAACAGCCCACATCCTTAACTATTTGCGAACAGTAATCTAATCTAGGTCTACCTCTACCCCTCCTAACTCCTGTTTCTGCCTCTAATATGTCTCTGACTAGACCTTCATGCCTGAGAAGGTGTCCTACCAACCTATCTCGCCTATTTTTTATTGACTTCCATAGAGTCCTCTGTTCTCCTATTCTTTCCAATACCTCTTCATTTCTAACCTTTTCTACCCACGATATCCTCATCATCCGCCTATAACACCACATTTCGAACGCTTCTAACCTTTTCTTTTCCGCCGCTCCCACTGTCCATGTTTCGCACCCGTACAACGCCGTGCTCCAAACATACACCTTTAACAACCTTTTTCGAATTTCTAAATTAACCGTTCGCGAGCATAGAAGTGACTTCTTTTTATTAAAGGCGACACGACCCTGCGCTATCCTCTGCTTTATATCCCTACTACTCCTTCCATCCTCACTTATCTGACTTCCTAGGTATCTAAAATCAGCCACTTCTTCTAATTTTTCATCTCCTATCTTTATATTCGCTCTTTCCCTACTTTTTCTTCTCTTGCATATCAGTATTTTAGTTTTACTTTAATATTCCACAGATAATATTTCATTCTCTTCTGTCTTCATTTCGTTCTACTCATTTTCTCATCCTAACCACCACCTACCCATTCCCACGATTCCTGAAAGGAGGCTGAAGAGGGCCTTCATCCTTACCTCCCGGCGTAGTCCGGAGGGACTGCCCGCCCACCAGCATTAGGGGCTGGTGGGAATGAAACACCCAAAAGTTTTTTTTTTTAGAGGTAGAACTATGATATTAATAAAGGCTTGCGCGGCCAGTAGGTAAACTGATGCTGTCCTGATTTGGTTCTAAAAGTCGTCGTCGTTTGAAGGAAGCAACTCAAGCGATGACAACCTTTAGATACGAATCAGGACAGCATCGGTTTAAGAAAATTGTCTATAAATTTCTATCACTATCATTCGGTTAGTGTAGTAAATTAAAATATTATGAATTTTCATTTTTCTTAGATTTGTATTATTTCTTTGCAGGGTATCTTTTGGTAGCTCAAAAGGATCAATGGTGGAGACATTAATATACGAAACTCCTCTTCAAGAGGAACCCGAACCTAGTCCTATAGCTGAAAACCCGACACCATTTCCAGCGGACCAAGAACAAACGGAGTAAGTAACAGTTGTTGTGTTAATTATTTTAATTTTTTATACTTTGATGATCACCTTTTAAATAACTTCAAATAAAATTATTAAAAAATTCTTTTTCTATAATTATCGAAGCTCTACAAAGGTGAAAGTAAATTATTCTTTTGTAATAGTGAATAATATTTTCTTTGGAGTAAAACCATGTACTTTATTCTTCCATTATCTGATTTCATATATTTGCTTTCTTCCAAAACTATTTTACTTGTAATAAATTACAAAGAAACGTGTAACGAAGTAAAATGCGTTTCGACATCCTCAATGGGGAAGATTGTAAGAATAGATGGCGCTACACCTATAATCTATTTACACGTAAATTCCGTTTGAGATTAAGCTGATTAAGCAGTTTATTATTGAGAATCTAATTGGTACTTTCTGTGTAATGTATTTAGAGAAGTGCGAAATGGTTTTTTAAATGTGTTTAAATATTTTGATTTTTTTTAAATGTAAAACACAAAATAGATTTCCCTTTTTATTTTATATACTAAATGCAGAATACGAATTTTCTAAATACTTTTTTCAAATAAATACTATTTTGTTGTACCTATTTAATTTTCTACATTTACTTAAGTATAAAATATTTTGTAAGAAAACCTTGCAGGCATTTGCTCATTTTTTAAATATTGGAGTTTTTCCTAGACTAACAGTGGTGTTTATGCACTACAAGACCGGCTGCGAAGATTAAGTATGATTCATATATAGGTTGTCTATCTTTATATTATAGTTTCTTCAGTTCAGCAACAACTAAATCTTCTATATGCTTCCTTATTTGCCTTTGTCATCTGTCAAAGGCACTGATGCCAAAATAGTTTGTTTACCGTGAAATATCAGAGCCAAAATAGGGTTGAAAATAACACTATTGATGTAAAAACAACATCAATCATTTTATATCAAAATATTTACAACCCCATTTTGCTTCTGATCTTTTACACATTGTAATAAGAGAAAGAAATGAAATCCGTAGTTTCTAGTATGATAAGTGGTAATTTGGCAGATGCTGATATCAATTTGGAACTTCAAAATTCGATGGACCATGACATTGAACCCGGAAAGCAATATCCAATGTTTTAGATTATCCATTTCAAAGGACTGTAGGATTTTTTGGGCTTCTGTTAAATTTTTACCTTCAGTGGCCAATGCGAGCAACTTTCATTCATAATTTTATATAATATTTGATCGGTGACATTAGCAAAACTTTTAACGGCAAAAATGTATTTTGCATTTATGGATTTCTGTTACAAGGGTGGGGATAGGGAAGACCAAGAAATTGAATTAAGTAGTTCACAATCCTGATTAAGTTTACCAAATTAAGATTTTGATAAGGTTCGGAATAGCATTCTAATTATTTGAATATTTAAATCTGTAAATACTGACAAAAATTATTTGAAACTTAAGTACCCATCCAGGCAGAGCCGGACTGAAGATTTTGGCCCCGGGTACGATGTAACCAAATGGTCTGGTTTAGAAGGGAAAGTGCACAAATTTTAACAGCACTCGTTTTTAAATAAATTTAAGGTCTTTTGAGTCATTTGGTCCGGTTTGGCCCGGCATGTATTTGCACCCCACCAACCCGGGCCAGTCCAGCCCTGCATTCTGATATTAAAAATGTTAAACATCGGGATATTAAAACATCATAATGTACTGTTTCTAAGATTCCTGTTTCTTCTTTTTGTTCTTTGGGAGCTTGGACTATAATAACGACCTTCATCCCTATCATTAACGGAACTGTTATAAGAATTCAACCATTCAACTTTTAACTTTTACTATATTGGCTATTAAAAGATATCAGTTATTGAAGTTATACTTCTTTAGGCGCGTTATGAAAAACTGATGAGAGTGAAATTTCAAGATGCGCGCGCATCACTGTAACACAAAATTAACAGGATGAAGTTGCCCACTCAACCGAATTCATTAAGTCTCGGAAAAAAGCTACCAACGAAATAGAAATAAAACCTCTCTTAGTCGCGCATGTTGGTACGCTTGTCGCCTCTGATCACTGTTTTCATATTTATTTATAATATTTATCCACATGGTTTTAGTTTTTACAGTCACAACACGTGTTTTATTTTCATACAAGTGCGAATTATATATGTGGCAATAAAATATATTCAGTAGTGATTTAAATTGAATATTTGGATTAATATTATTTACTATTTGTGAATATTAGTGAAAAAATTGTGCTAAAATACTTTTTTAAGTGCTCCAATATAATTGAGGTTAGTTATCCCTATGTATTATTTATTGATATAAATTAAAATATCATTATTTAATATAATTAATACTAAATATTATTAAATTATCAATGTTGAATATTTATTATTGGTTATTTAATATTTACAAAATAAAGAAATAAATTTAATAGAACATTTAATAAAAAGTTCGTGACAAAAATTTAATAGATTATTTAAATATAATGTAAGACATCCGTTATTTGTTTTATTGTTTTTTATTACATACGTCTTTTCTTTATCATTGTGTGACAGAAGATTTTGACATGTTGTGTATTTTTCTATTTTTAATGATGCCAAAGAAGTATAACTTCTCACGCGCGTACATAAGTCTTTTTTTTATCATTGTGTGACAGAAGATTTTGACATGTTGTGTATTTTTCTATTTTTAATGATGCCAAAGAAATATAACTTCTCACGCGCGTACATAAGTACACGCACCCATTTTTTTTTTACAATTAAAAATACAGAACAGTTGCTTTTCGTAGATTTTTATCATCTCAAAAATCTTGGTATTTTGTGCACCAATGTATTGGTGTATGGTACAAATTATTAAAAACTGGAACAAATACCTACCATAAAAATTAGTATAGGTGTCTATCATTATTGCACGACAGCCCTAATATAACTAATATCGAAGAAAACATTTTTATCTCCTCCCCACATTTACTTCGCTCGGTGCTATGATACAGTGCTATAGAATAGCAGTCCCCCCCCGCTGCGCCACTGCGAAAGAAATTAATTTAAACTAGGTACTTGGGGTATTTTGTCTTCGAACGAATATCATGAAAAATTACAATAAATTGATAATTCTTTTTCCATATTCACGAAAAAAATAAGTGTCTTTTGCAGCGGCTGGAAAATAATGAAAATAACTACATAACTCAAATTATTAAAGTGCCTAAATGAAGCGGTATATTTATGTAAGTAGCCGGCAAGAACATTTTTTTCATTAAAAAGTCTCGGAGCACCTTTTTTATACAAAGTGATTAATAATTGAATTATCCTGCATTTAACAATTACAGCATTCTTTGAATTGCCGTATTAAAAGTTGCAGTTTACTTCTCAACGCTGAGAGCTATCTGCATTTGTTTAGAGAATCACGTGTTAGTGTCGCTCTCTTTGCCCAGAAGTGGAACTAAAATTCACCGAGGCGTGGCGAACGGCGGCGTTTATTGGTTCGTGTCATCCCGCGCTTACTTGTATGTTACCGAGTTGTTCGGCTCCTGTTTATTTACGTAAATGAATTTAGGTTTCGTTTTTCTATCGTATAGTTAGTTTTTGGCATAATTTTTTTGTACAGTTAATAGTGTATTTACGTGCTATCGGGTGTATAAACAATTTTTGTGTAAGCTACCTGTGGTAACAGAAAGAGGAGGCTTGAAAAATCGATAGGTATTCTTTCAAGGCCTAAACGCAGATGTTCTAGGTAATGTTTATTTTCTCACTTTATAACGCCGTTACTGTTAATGCTTTCGTTGTGGTATTTTGCATACAAAAGCTCTGTTTAATTGTCTATTTAAACGAACAATTGAAAGTGAAAGCTCAAGTCAATACACGCTAAAAGAAATAGATAACCTATGATGTAATGGTCGCTTTCATCGCTGACAGCTAAAGGCATTGTAGTAGTAACAAGTGGCACGATAATAAAGTAACAGGTATAATATAAATATCTTGAAATGAATTTCATTATTATTCTACATTTGATATTTTTGTATTTTATATATTAATAAATGATTTGAATTAATGAAACAGTAGTGAAGGTCATGTGGCTTGTAGTACATACATATAGTCCATTGTAAATATGTACAGTAAATTATAGTTTTTATCTGATATTACCTATAGCATAACTAATGTTTGTTGTTGCACGACACACTGGCTCGTTGTGATAATTATTTTCAACAAGTTCGTAATCGATAATTTTAGAAACTAAGGAATTTACGTATTTAACAAACATGGCATTCATTGTACCTACAGTGGGTCACAATTGGAAATGTGTGCTATAATCTTGTAAAGCATTTAATGATGATTAATTGTGTTAATTTCTGTTGCGCACCTATATTACGAAAAATCAATAATTTTACTGAAGTAATAATTGCATCATTTGATGATGCTATCGTTTGGATGTATTCTGATAAACATTAACTTTTGTTCACTGTATGAACTTGGATTAACTACCATTGCTATAGCATAGGTACTCATAATTTTTTATATCTAGTTACAATGGATTTGGATAATAAAGGAAATATCAATCGTTGTAAAAATTAAAAATTTGCTGTGATAAGTATATCCAATTTTTTTGAAATTTTATTATCTATATTACATATTAAAACTTCAAGAAAGTCGGAGGTGTGGTTTAAGCAAATAATTACTATGCTCGTTATCAAAGAAGTGGGCGCAGTAATCCCACAATTAATGAGATATAGCATTGGTTAATATTAGGCGGGAACCGGCAAAACTGAAAGCTCCGTGATCACGGAATTTAAATTTTTTTTTTGTATATCGATAGCTAACAGTTAACACGAACAAGATGCGCTTGATGTTTGAATCAACTGAAATAAAAATTTTCCTTCAATTAGTTGTTCTGTTTCAACTTTAAATCTAAAAGAGTTACCTATAACATATTTTATTATTTATTATTTTATACAAACGCTTATTAATTTGTTGCGTCTTAACTTCATAAATTAAAACGTCATATTAAAGTGTAAATTATGTATGTTTTAAATTTAGTTTGTCAAT